TTAAAAGAAAAAGCTAAAGTAAATAAACATGAAAATATAAATAGTAAAGGTACTACATTGATCTTTTTGAGAGAAAATTTAACGATGAATTTTTACAAATTAATGTTGAGGCAGTAAACATGGAAATGAGTAATGAATTGACAATAGAGCAGTTTTTTGATATCAGAATGCTTGAACGAAATCAAGAAGAGATAATTGAAAATGATCAAATTATTAATCCTCAAAGACCTACCAGTAATACTAACAAAGATTGGTCGGTTGATGATATCTTCTTCCAATATAATACTGCGTTTGAATAGATTTACAAAAATCTATGTAAGTTTTTTTTTATTTTGGTATATAAATATTATCTTGATAAAAATTAATAAAAATTTTTATCATAGTCTCAAATTTGTATAAAAAGTAAATTCTAACCTCAAATAAAGTAAATCTGTTGAAATTTAAAATTTGAAAAAGTAAAAAAAAAAGTTTAGTAATAACTTTGTAAAAATCTTCAAGTATATAAAAGAGTAAACGTATATAAAATCTAAAGTATAAAATAAATCTTATGTAGTACTTTAGTGAGAATTAAATATATAAATCAGTCAAGCCTTTAGTGATTATATAATCTGACTAAAAACAAAAATACTAACTAAAACCCATAGCTTAGATCTATGAAACTAATATATTTTATTATTTGTTTGAGAAATCGTAACAAGATTTAGAAGAGTATATATAAGTTCAGGTAGATCATAAAAATTTATACACGTATACCATTGATGAAGTACATAAAACTAGTTTAAATGTAAATGTTTCTTGCTAATAGAGAAAAGATTAAAATATTATATCAATATAGTTTGATTAGCATTAGCACTAAATCTAATTTTTTGAAATTTACAATTTGATTGGTTGATTATCATATGACTTGGTTCTTCTTATATAAATTGCATACCTATAGACAATTTGGGTTTCAGGCATACCAACGGCATGTCACCATGGGCATGCCATGGTGGCATACCTTTGACCTTCATGCTACACACTCTACAAATTAGTATACCTGCAAACACGATCTACTACAAATCTCCTAACAGATTTTATTAGTGCAATCGTAATTGATGCAAGTGACCTTTCTACAGCCTTGTATCTCAAGCCAGGAACTTGCTGCCTAGTTAGGTTCGCCACATGACAGAGTTGGTATTATATTGCCAGATATGTCAATTGGCAGGGACCTTTCTACTTATCTGCCCAGGTACTACTAACTCATATCTCAAGCCAAGTCCTGCTACTGCTGCTGGTTTGCCACCCCAGAACTTAACATTCTTTTTTAGTATAGTGGTACCAACTAATCTATTTGTACTTCCTCATATGATGTATTACCAGAATCATATTTTGTAGGATCAAGGTGAGCCCAGATCCTACTTCTAGCCATAGGCCTTGCATCATGTTACTAGAAGGCATACTCCAATTCACATTAACTTCCAACTTGGACTTTCATCTATTGGTTGGTGTTGTATTATTGTTAGTGTATTCTGGCTTCTTTCATCATAAACTTCTATATAGATATGATCAGAACTCCGACTTGGTGCCTTTAGATGTATTAGATTAGCTAGCCTGCCTCTATGAGATTACTTTTTTAGTTAGTTGTTTCACAGTACCAGAGATGTTTCCAATTCAGGTAAGGCTAATTCTTTACCACAGCCCTTTCACATATCTACCGCTTCTCTCGATACTCCAGTTTTGGTTGTATTGTATCACTCTTCCAAGCAAATACCCAACACCAATCCAAATTAGGACTGATATACACAATTTATTGATCATCCTTCCAAGCAAATACCCACAAGTTGGGTGTGGGGATGTTAGTACTGCCTAAAGCAGAAACGAAGGGATGTTGGTGTTGCCTCCAGGTTACCTCAACCAGAGGACTTATATATGTGATCTTCTACAACCTAGACCTTCTGTGAGAGATACATGTATCAGCACCGCTCTATGATCAGGGCTTCTTCTAGAAATTCTTATTCCAGAACTTGTACTTGCACTTGGATTTTCTATAGGGCTTCACGTCCAAAATAGCACTCCTGCTATTTAGGCTCACAGAGAATTAAAAATATCAGATTTTATGCCTCTAGATAAATTCGAACTGTCAACCTTGTCTGTAGAGATTTGGGAGCTTAATCAATAAGCTATGGAGCCCAAACCTAGGAAAATTTTTTATTAGTATATAGAAAACAGTTTTATATATTGAATTTAGAGTTATAGATAATTTTTAATTTTTGTATTTTTTTTTGCATTTCTTTTACATTATATCTAATCATAAAATTGGATTGGTTCTGATAAATAAATAATTAGTACAGCTAATCAGAAGTGGTGAGTAAAATTAGAGTACTTTCTAAATAGCTAGTTCTTATCAAACTATCAGGTTACTAGTATTTCAAATTATTAGTTGAAAACTAACTAATTGCTAACTTTCTAACTAGTCAATTTAAAAAAATTTTAAACAACTAATTGATTAATCATTTAACTAATACAATTTCGAGAAATTCTGTTTGGTTAGACAGATCTGTATTAATTTCTTTTGTTTGATTGACTAATCATCTGATGATACTATATGATATGAACAATCGATTAGTTATAACTTTAGTTGGCAACTAATCGATTAGTAAAATATTTATCAACTTGGAACACTATAAATTACTTGAGTAATATTTTTTTAGATAGATTCAAGCACTAGGTCTTAGGGTTCTGCATTTGATTTGATTTGATTTGATTTGATTCAAATATTTGATTTCAAATCAAATTCAAATATCGATTTTCAAATCAA